GCATGATTTTTCAAAAGGGAAGGGAAGGCGCGCTATTAAACCGGTGAGCAAACAGAAATGTAAAGAGACTACCTAGAAGCTAACAGAATACAGGCACAGAGCGCAATTCTTATCGCTGGACGAGCGACCCGTTGTGCGTGGTGACCCCTGCCAACAATGTTGAGGAGGGTTCCATATTCCTATTTATCGATGAGTCACCAACTTTGTGCCAGGTTTGAAGTGCAGATACACACCTCAGTAGAGAATACATGTTATCAGTGAACTCCGTAGATTGCCAATCTGTAACTACATTCTAACGCTAACAAAAAAATAGTATGAATTACGTTTCTTGCCGTAACTGTCGGCCAGTCTACACGCTAGTTACTTACCCATCTAAGTGAAATAAAGACGAAAAGACAAATAACCAACCACTATACATTCAATTTCTGTAATATAACGTACTACTATGCTAATACAACCTAATGATACCCGTACACTAATCTCTATACGTATTACGTTTCGCATTGTGTGTACAGGTCAACCCAAACAGTATTAACACAGGCCAACCTCACTGGTTAACCTTCACTATTTCAAATTGAGAAATCGTTAGATCGAAGTAAAGTGTATTAGCTAGCCTATGACGACTACGCTCCAACTACGTACATGCAGACCCCCCACTGCACCAGCCCTAGCGACCATATCCTCACACCGCATTGCTGCTCTAACAGCTTAGTCTACCACACGAACTGCTGATGGCAACATGAGGTTCGGTCCGACTAATGGGTAAAGGCCACTGGAACAGTGTATCAAGCAACTACTTGTAGGGGTTGACGAACAGGCGAAATCATAGGGGGTTCATCATTAAGCCATTTGACATGACCGACCGTGAGCGAGTTGACGCGGGCCGTTGAACACTACCTACTATTCGAAAATATTACGTCAAGCAGCGTTCTGTTATATTCTAACCCATTAGCTAGCCTATCAGATTAACCCATACAGATTTGAATGTAACAGCTTTTTGAATGTACATTCATCAAAATGCCTAGATAGAATTTCTCATATTTTCTCTGTGGGTAATTTGTTTTTAAATGGCATCCTCCGTATTATAATAGCATATGTGGCAAATATTTGTGTTGTCTGCTACGGCGATCTATTACGATTCCCTATTTCATCGTCGTTTAGCTGAGAAATAGTTGTAGCTGCACAGAGTTATGGGACAACTTCTATTTTAATTCGATCGTATCAAAAGCTATTTCCTTGAAACCTACTTCCTAATTTGGAATGTTTTAAGCTGCTGGCTGTAATCAATTGTACAAATCGACCCGCGTCATGACTCTATCAGAATTCTTTGGCTGTACAGATGTTTTTGGTGCTCGTGTTAAATAAACGAATGTCAGAACCTGTTTAGCACGGCATCAGCCGTCCCGAGCTCGCTGCCTTTACCTCATAACTCCCGTAAACCGCTAACGGACATATCGTTCGGTCAGTGACCTAGCTGGGTCTGCCAATAACCTAACTAGCTAAGGCAAAAGTAGTTTCGTCTGGTTGTCATTAGTCGTGAATTTTAACGCCGCCAAAATGGTGTAGCAGATGATAGTGCATATCGCCCACAAGAATACAGCAGTGACAGTGTTATTATCTCTAACGATCTCTTAAAACACTCACCGGCGTCTACGCTTTACTAGGCTTTGTTTTAACTCCGTATCATCGCACAGATGCGCTAATGGTTCGTTATCAATTAGCCGGAGTCACCGACTGAAACGCCCAAGGAAACGAGGATTTGCACTTTCTAGTTATAACTAATTAACAAACATTCACGTAGGCCGATTTTTATAATGTGCGCTACGTGCACTGGTTCGGTTGAAGGAACGTGAAATCAAGGACTTCGCATTTTGAGATATGTGCCTATCCAGTTGTTGAATATATACCTGTACGAGTATTAATCAGCATACAGACCTAACCGGTAATCGTTTTGAAATTGTCCTTATTTGTTAATATCATAGATTCAATGGTATGTATGTCATTGTGTCACAATCAGAAGGACTTCAGAATTGGCAGTATACAAATATTATGTCAAACTTTTGATCATGGATAAAATTTAGACGCATTAAAGTATCGAAGCTGTTTTCAATCATCGTAATTGCGTTCGTCGTAACGGTAAAATCGTCAAATATATGTATTTCTGTTTTTGTATATAGTTATACATGGACCGATCAACGAAAACGATAAAATAGCGTTGTAGTTGGTTAACATATAGCATTCTTTGTTTAATGTTCGCAATCTCATTAGAGCTAATTATCTCCTCATAGCAAATGCCAGGCAGGCTATAAATAGCAACGTTTGCAGTAACCTGGTCACATTTCCGCTACGTCGACTGTCCCAAGTATAAATTTGATCACAGGAAGGGGCACTGAAAAGAGCTCTCGGCTCCGAGCTAAAGCACGCAGGACCCTCTTTTGTTGCTACGTAACGGGTGGGCAACTATTGTATATGCTCAATCACTTTTGAGCTAGCTTCATCGCGCAACGAATGGTAATTGTTAACAATTGTAGTACTCGATTTGATGCTGCTACATTTTATCGAGATAGGCACAATGAATCAACTGAATTCAAGGTTCGAATATCCCGGTGACTGAAGGAAATGTTTATGTTGCTATAATTTGTGTCGTAGGACGTTAATAATATTTGACCCCTCTCAATCTAGGCAAGCAATGCGGTTCATTCAAGATATTTCGTCTAATGGATAGAAATGTGTTATTCATGACGGCTTTTTCCCTCTGGTTTGCAAGGGAAACGTGTGGAATCGAGCTCCATATTCAAATACGCGTTAGGTGCGAACTCAAACCCTGACAAATGCTTTATAGTGATTAGGAGTTTCTGTCATCGAAGTTTATTCTGCGTCAACGGTCGTTACGGAAAACCTACTATGCAATGCTAGCTTCCTGCAACATTTTAGACTCTATCAAATTAAATTTTACAAAAATCCGGTATTATGCAAGTTTAATTTGGCGACATAGACAGTTACCTCGATCTGGGTCTTTACTATATCTATTGTGTTACGCAATATATTTACTTGTTGTAATTATCAAATTTTTTTTTGGGCAGTGTATAATACCACAGTAACCGTTTGGTTATATCGATACGACAACGCGAGGATCTCAGTTCTATACAATTCGGCTGATAGGTCCTAAATAATTAACTGGGTCGCTTCCGTCCTTACAGCGAAGGTTCAACAGGGGTTTGTGAAGTTGGTTCTAGCTGAAATAGAGATTTGCGGCAGTCCTGTAAGTAAACGTCATGAAATTTTCTACAGAAGTATGTAATTATAGGTAGCAAGAGAGCTCAGCAGTTGACCAGACAGAGGATAGTCCTTTGTGTAATGCAACCTTGTGCAAACCGGGCGGATTGCAATGAGGTATTCGTGAACAAATATACGCTTGTCACAGATGGCTACGTTATCAAAGCCAACCAAAACAAAGAAATAAACGTATTTTGAGTATAGCATTTTTTTTTAGTCAATACGGAGTCAATAGATATATGACCGTACCAAATTTTGCAAGTATTACAGGTGGTTACTCCTAGGTAAAGGAGGCACGTTTACACGTTACTCTCGGCTAACTTTCTAAGTTGAAGATTGACCTGGTACAATACACAGTGTTTCGTAGGCACACAGGATAGGTACAGAGTTGACAGGGTTTGCTGTATGAGTCCGCTTGTCGAGTTGAATGCCAAGTAGGTATAACGCGTTGGTCGAGACGTTGTGACAAGAGTCTGATTTGAATCTAAAAATAGTTTTATGTTACGACGCGCATAGATAAGGCCTTTGGCTAGAACACGCGTGCGACCGTGGAACGTGTAGGTGGCAGCCGCTTTTCCTCGAAGTCACCTACCTTTCTTCCACACGCAATCTGATTATCTATGAAGTGTGTATTGTGACATTGAAGTCTAAATAGAAAGCTGTGCACTCTGCTAAATATCAGGCGTGATACTAGTGCGCCGTTTACGACTAAAACGCATCATATTTGTTAGTACCTATCCTTTAACAGCGGTAGTGGAGACAGTAGTCCATTTCATATCCAAGGGGAAAACAACATCGAAGCTTTCTACTTAATGTCCTGTTCACTTTTCACTTTTACATTGGCTATTTTTTTAAATTTACAACTTGTTACAATTTCCTTTATTCCAATTACAATGTCCCTCGGTTATTTGTAGTAGTCGAAGGTCACCGTCTAATATCAAAAAGTGACATTATCGATGCCATCATCGTCTACATCAAATTTAATCATTATACCGAAACGCGGCGAAGCCAAACGGCCTTTTTTCGAGGACATTAATTGAGTTGAATAAGCTTCAGCCGGCATTAGTCAGGTCGCAGGCTGTGACACACGGTCTATAATCATATTTACAATAGAGGGTTTAGCGGAAGATGCGACATGCGTTCTTAAGAATATATGGTTCTACTGAATAACCGGTTTGCAGTGACCGCAACAAGTTTTGACCTGTCGACTGAAAGAAATTTGAAAACAAGTCGTGAACTGATGTGTTGATATTCCATAAGGTCTCTGTGTCTCATGTTTTACGTCCAGTATCGCCGCTAAGCACTCCATCACGCGGTTGGCTTCCAGCACAAAACGAAGTGTCTCTACGTCCGGATTTTCTATAGTATATTTATAGTTTCATAATACGGATAGTAAGTTTCAGTAGAGGCATTAGCAGACAAACTCCCATCAGAAGGCCAGGTAAACTCCATAGCCGCCCTTTATGATCGGTTCCTTTATAGCTATTTGCTATGACTTCAGGCAAAATTCTCGCTACGGATCAGCTACATTGTACGCAGTCCTTCGTTACTATAATATCGTGAGAATCACTTTCACAATTGATTGGGCATTATTACAATACCCGAAAATGTTATGTTGAGGTTACACGCATAACAGTTTCAGTCTTTCTTGCCTACAGTTTTTACAGTTTTTTTTTTGCCTACGATGCATTTCCGAAGGGGTATTTAAAAATGGTAACACTTACCAAGTATAAACCATATATGCGTTGTTTGACTGCATGCTACTGCACGCTTTACTCTCGATGATATCCTTATTTCTTTCTTGCAAGGTTGTTGTTTTACGTATGGGCCGTTTGTAAACGCAGCAGACAGGTCTTTCAAGGCGTGGCATGTTTTCATCCAGCACATTTTCGTAGGATCACTAGCAAACCAATGCTTATCACTCGAAATCTGCTTTTTCTTAGGTTTCATTATTTTTCTTTGAAAGTACCAATCATATCGGACGAAGCCTCCGAACCAAAATAACTTTTGCTATTATTCATAGTTCCTCACAGTTCCGTCACCACTCCACGCCAACGTTTTGCCTTCCCATAGTGCGTTTTTCTCTTTATTAATTAGTCGTAACCTCAACGCAAATTTGGACACAAGTTATCGACGAACCAAAAAACAGCATCGGGTGCGGACAATTACAACGCAACTTACCGCAACTACAGTAAAAACTTCAAGGAAAGCCTAGCCCGTGTTTAACTACTGAAATTATTTCATGGACGAAACTTTGTTGCCGATTTAAAATATATACACGTAAGGAATAAGAACGAGGGAGTTCTCTTGCCTTGTTTGGACACAGCTTGGCAAAACTGGCAGGTTTTAGCAAAACGACAAGAAATAAAACCTGATTGCGGCGTTAACGCACCGTTAACGAATGAACAATCAGTCAGCCAATGTCGCCGTTATTTTTACTCTTACACCGTAGCGTTGAAGATATTCATCGTAACGATAACACAAATAATGATGGTGCCGCTGTTGATTATGATGATTTTCCCGGCAACTGTAGCAATATTGTCTGTCGTTTCCTGCCGCTGGTCCAGCCGATTGTGACGATGATGGTGATGCTGGGCGAGAAAATGGCACATCGACGGAACACCGCGCTAGCTACCGCAGCCACAAATTCAACCAGAACAATATTATGGCGCTTTTCCAGCTGTGTGACAAATACTTAATTCAGTTCAGTTAGTTTTAAAATAGATTTATAGCAGGCAACTCTTATTCGTCCGCGCTCTTCGGAAGCCAAGGCAAAACTGATGAGCACTGTTGAAGCCCCCGAACGAGCGCGCGCGCGCGCGCCCGCTTCATTTTGCTTCGTTCTATAGAGCTATAAAGTAACACTGCATCACACTACGGGAGTGTAATGCACTCCCGCTCCAACACTAAACATAGGGCTTTGCGAATCCGGCTCTGGAGCACCGCCTGGGGGCGCTGTATTCGGGGCATACCCCACATAGGCTGCGACCCAACGAGATTGACACCAGGGAGTTATTATCGGCGCTGGTATCACTATTGTGATACTATGGGACAACACCAGAGGAAAATATTCGACATGGGCAAATAACAAGCGAATTTGAATTTGGGTATGCCTTCTATTGTACGCCTAATACGGTTTACTTGAAAGGCCAATCTATATTTCACAGTACGTATGCACAATGCCAATTTATTTCTATCGTGCAAAAATGGAACGCTTTGTCTACATACATAAATATTCATTGAAAATTGCTGGAAGTTGTATGTTCGTCACGGCCACACAAACACTTGAAGCTAAAATTTAATAAATAAACATAATCTTGCGTCTAAAACATGTAACATTTATATATTTATCACAAAATTTAAAAAAAAATTATAATATTTAACAAAAAGTCACGTGAGAAAAGCTTTTCCTGTCCGGGTTCCTCACCTATTCTAAATAGCGAGGGGATGATCACATATGGTTAAAGTCAAAGCAGAGTACTCTCTCGCTACACAAGCTCAATTTCTGACGCACAAATGTTGGCTTAGAAACTAGAATATCGGTTGTATAGCAAGAAAATTTTCCGTCCACGCTACGAAAAGTTCTGTTTATATTAATTTAGACATTAATTTTAGTTCATATATTAAACAGTTTTGTTTTGTCGAAGAATGGAAAATATTGTTCCCATTAATCTGAAAGTTTTAGCAACACACTATCTTTGATTAGATAATTTTAAACCGCATGGTATTCTAGGTAGAGGAACTGTACCGTTTTAGGAGCTCAGAAGGCTAAAATTTTTGTAGAAGTTTTGAGTAAACGTAATGAACTAGAACCCAGCAACGTTTGAATCTCAGATTATAGCTACCATGCATTGTTCAACTCTTAGGAGCCTCTAGAGCTTCCTTCATCGTTTTCCAGCCAAATTGGGAGCAGTAACGAAATTGACTTCTGCCAAATCAGCTAAAATTCGAACCGTTAATATAATATTTGTAATATTGTCTGAGGAAATTGCTCAAGTATATTTAGTATGTATAAATGTAAGCCTGCAGTTGGTAGACCAATGCGTGGAAAATGCATAATAACACTGATGACCTCTAAGCGCTATTATATTTTTAATTATGATCTTTCTAAATGTATTATTATTATTATTATTTTAGACTTAGCAGACTTTAAAGAAGATAAGATTTCTATTAAGATCACACTCGTGCGTTCTTTGATACATCCAGCAAAAAGAGTATATATATACATATATATATATATATAACAAAGACGTAAAAGAAGACCATAAGGCCGTCCAGGTCCTTATCTGAACATTTCTTAATCAATTTTGACTGACACAAAAATCAAGCCACGAATAATGTCCAGAAAGTGTTTAGTTATCCTGCAACGCGTGTATCTATGTGTTAAGAATTGATATGTTCGTGGCAATCCGGATTTTCCGCCCTCTTAATAGACGAGGGCCTATTATCATAATGGTACGTTACTTAAAAATATTGACTAACGATATATTTTTGATTAGAAATCCTTTTTAGGTTTGAAATGCATTTTGCGGCAGTTTACTCAAATCGCGAAAAAAAACTCCTAATTTTTGTTTTATTTGTAATTAAACCCTCAGGAACAAAGATCATCAGCTAAGACAGTTGACTGCTCTACCGGTGGGCTTGTTAAAAAGTATGTCATAGCTGCGCATTTACTGTTCCTTTGCTTTTTAAAAAAAATTCATAAAACAGGAGCATGTCCTATTTTTTGTTTATCATGGTTTTCAACAAAAACCGACGATAGATGCTTCCGGAATTACAATTTAGCAGATCTAATAATAAGTTTCTTTATTCGGACAAACTGAGTTGAATATATATATTATTGGGGGAACTCGAAGCAGCGACTCGCCGGCCAATTTCAAGTAGAAACTTGGTCATGTACTACCCGCGTCGATTTCAAGTGTGGTAAATATCTGATTGTGTAAGTCTATATATAAAGATGAATAAACCATCCTACTTAATTGTATGCATATAAAAAAGCGCCCATTTACCTTTCAGAATGGACCGGATAACGGAGTAATGAGATATATATCAGCCACTCTGGTCAAGCTCTGATATTCAACACTCTCCTATCAAAGCAATTAATTATGAAATCACCTAGAGGCCGCCTGCGTCAAATATGGTAGCGTCGTTTCTGAAATAATAACTAGGGTGTATTCATTATTTCAGTACATTAACCAGTTGAAAAAACCTAAGGGACAATGAACGGCGGGCGCATCAGATGCATAACATATTGACCGTTTAGGCATGAAAAAAAGGCGCCGTGAATATAGCCGTACATTCAGAGGTACGCTTTTCTTACCGAGTGGCGTATTCGGGTTTTTGGACTTCGTGCTAGTGCGAATGGAAGTGATTTCTTCACTATAATACCTGTTTTTTCCCATAATTACACACCTATAATGTATGTGCCTAGCATACATTAGAAATGCGTAAGGTAGTCTAGGTTCGAAACTGGCCTGGTAACACTCTGAAGCAGTGTTTAACGCCAGTACTGAATGTGAATTCGCTCTTTGAATTTATTTAATGCTAGCCTTCGCAGTAGGATGTTTAAGGCGGATCAACTGTCGGATGTCGATTAAAGCGTAGCATTTGCTGTTCTTGCATATGGACTGTGCATCTCAACCTCAGCTTCTTGTCGGTTTAAACAGTTGTCTTATTTTTTTGTTCAAGTTACAATTTCACCTCATCTACAGACACACTTTAGCGCGTTCTTGTCTGGCGTTCGACTAACTAACCACTGACACAGAGCTGTGAAAACGATTATTGCAGGATATACTATTCAGAAGACTGGCAATTTCGATTTTTCTGAGGATCACGAGGAGGTGAAATAGACGAGCTAACATATCATTTCCGTGTTCTGCTTCAGCAAAGTATGCGATTTGAAAATCAAATTCTAACAGGTGCTACTGTGGTCCCAAGCCATTTGACGTATTTTGCTTTAGACAGAGTTCAGAACGAATTATTTTGCCTTTATTATATCATAGTAGCAACATGAATTATGAATCCAGATCAGAAATAATAAAACTGAACCCAAAGTAAAGGGAGTAGATGATCTGCAACTTTCATGTCAGCGGTTAGGATCTACAGCGAATTGAAGTAGTTTGTATATGTTAACTACAAAGTAGCAGGAAGTTGTCTTGTAGTTAAAAAAGCTAGATGATTTTGGCTTAACCTCTGCCATCGACGTACATTACAAAACGACACGTCATTAAATAAAGGAAGACTATATGTATTCCGAAATAATTGTTTTTGAGACTCTATATTGAGGCAAGGGTTAAAGTTCACCACTGTCAAAAGCTTATCCACTAAGGTTCACGTTTTTAGCTATTACTTGACATACTTGAACAAGTGCGAATAATCGTTTCCTTCTGGCTATGTTTATTATTATTTGTATATTTCATTGTACAGTTTTAGCGTATTCTCTGAGTTTGCTACTAGTATTTAGAAACAAAGTGCTTGCGCAAGTTTCGAAACTTGTAATAGTAGTTCAACGACGGGCTCGCTTCAAACGACCCTATTGCTTTAAATTATCCAGAGCCGTCGCCGTAGATCATTTTAAAAGATGAAGACTTAAGGGTCCATTTAGATACACCGAGAAAATTCGTGTGTCCCTACTTTTTTATGTTTCTTTAATTATCTCGAAAATGGAAAGTTACAGGTAAATGAGTTTGATGCAGAAATTATCGATATTTCTAAATGCTATCGACTAGTTGAAAGTTTAGCGTAAATTTTACCTTAGAAAACAAATTTTATGTATTAGACTATATACACTTTATGATATTTTTCAAGGAAGTTTTGCGTAACCCTAGACAAGTGCGGAATGTTATGAGGATGCTTAGACTCAAAGCCTTACCGATCTATCGCTTCAGCTGTAGATTGAAGAACTTTAGGGAAAATTAACAAGGATTTAATTTTATCGAACTATATTTGAAAAAATTAAAACAAAACCTGAATAAAGGACATAACAAACTCTAAAGGCATAGAAGAACAACCTTCATAGTAGACAGTTCCTTCTCTTTTAATAAGAAATTTTATATAACAAAGTTACGCCTTTTAATTATGCCTCAACGTCGTGAAAAAGTGTATTATTTGCGGAAATTTTGCAAAAAATAGGAAAGCATTACCAGAAAGTTATATAGAAAATCACATATATTTGTGCATATTTCCCATGTATAATTTAACCTGTCCTAGTTTTTTTTCGAATAGCCCTCTTCCTGTTTCCAGCTGGTTTTCAGAAAATCCAAAGGTTTTTGTCTATTATAGAGTACTGATATCTACTTCTACTGTTAACTTGGAGTTTTTGATTGTTATCTGACTTACAATACAAATTGATCCTTTGGCTTCATTTGGCTTTAACTGAAAAGTCTGAAAGATATAACTACAAATCAAGTATTTTACTGTAGGTAGAAAACGTTCAAACCACTTTAATTTTTGGCGTTGATACAGACCACAGTATAACTGTCAACCAAACAACATCAGTTTCGTCACTTCCTGCATTATTGACATTCAATAGTTAAAAAAAAATAATGAATGCATGAATTCACAATGCATTATACATTATAGACAAAGTAATTTTATTGGGAATAACGCTTAGTGTATCTATCTAGTCCCACATAAAGACATGTACGTCGCATGTATATTTGTTATTCTCAACCATATTCGTTCAATTTCCATAAAGCAGCTGCTTGCTTTTATAGTTTCTCTTTGTTTACAAAGATGTTCTAACTATGGTATATACTTTTGTGTGCATCCTTCCTCCGTCCCAACAAAGTGCCTAGCCGCATACTTGCACATCACATAGTCCTTCTTTTAGGATATTCCGATGTTTCAACGATCCGTATCAGCCAAGTAGGTGCCGTACAAAGCCATATTCACGGCAGCGGCCACGCTTGATTGTCTGCCACTGGATCACTAGGCCCGGCAGTCTTACCTATCACTTGGTTCTATTAGGACAGGCATGCGGTACATAATGTCTACGACGTTATGCTAATGTTAGTGACAGGTCTTTGTCGACCTTCTCATTGAAACATTTAATTAAATATTAAAAATTAAGAAAAATTAATCCATTGCTAAATTTCATCTTACTACTGCTGCCCGCTCGTACCGTTAACCAATTTGATCTCATTACAATACATATATACACGTTAAGGTCAACATGGTTATTACCACCTGTTATGGCCATTCGTTTCCGGCTACATTGTCAAAGCCAACAAAAAACAGTCATATATATATATATATATATATATATATATATATGTATATGTTTGGCAGTATGTCTGACAAGCTTCTCTACGCTGATTCAATAACTAGTAACTTTCCGTTGTTCAAAGAGTCATAGAGTCATTGTGCGACAAAAGCTATTGTTACATTTACTCATTTATAGCGCCCCTTTGATGAAAGCACAATAGTGTTTTCATGAACTTTTTCGGATGCTACGTACATTTCTTCCTTTTATATAACATAGAGGAAGTTTTTTAGACACCCTGCACTTCTACATACTTATCGTAAAACGTTGTTTTAAGTTTCACATTGCCAGTTATGACCATTAGTATCAGTATGATCTACTATATTCGATATATGATTTTGATCAGAACGTTTCATGACGTACGTAGCCGAGGGAAAATAACAACAGTGGCACACAATGAGCTGAGCTGAACTGGCTTTGACCAGCAAACAAAAAGCGAAACTTAGCGTCATGCTCTGTGAACGTGACGGCAACCCACAAAATCAAGCTCCTATACACATATTTATACTGACAAAATCTACCCCTTGATTTCATTCCTCAACGTAAATTCCGTTCTTCTTACGACGATAATAGGGCACTGGGAGCAATAAGCAACAGCTTTGACATCACGCTGTACTGTGTGCCTGTTGACCTTTCCCGCTTTTTCTAAACAACAATAATAATACAATCGGTATCTCAGAATCTCGTACTTAAGACACACGTTTGATTAATTCAGCCTGCTTTTCTTCGCCGGTACGCAAAAGACTTTACAATAACTAGATATTTGTTATGTCCCGGCAGTGACGATTAGAGGCGTGAGATGAACACTGCGCTGATATCCACAATATTGGACGCATTTTGAGGGGTCCCTTATCAGAAGTCCTTATTTGGAGAAGCCTAGTGAATACAAGATTTTTCTTGTCACTGCCTTTTGTTATTTACACCAGTTTAACCCGTTATGCATGTGGACAGATCTTTTTCCTATAAAGTTTCGCCTTTTACCATCTGCCCTTAGAAACGCATAATACTCCTGAACTTCCAAAAAAAGCATACTAATAAGGGTAAAAATATATCAGTTAACTGAAACGTAGAAATTACTGAACTATAGGGTAATTGGAATTTTAGAGAACTAAGTCTAATCAGCATTCTTCCATTGGGGCACGTTTCAGTTATTTTCACATAACATTTAATTCGATTTGAACTCGCGCTGTTTTATTTACCTATGGATTAGGTCCATAAAAAGGATCGATAGCAGAACATTATACGAACGCCAGGCTATCTGAAAAGTGTGCCCATGCCTTATTTCATTTTTATTTACTATTTACCCAACTATAATTATCCGTTTATTTAAACACTCTGCGATTAGCGCACCCCTCTCAATGGTCCCCAAGCTAACTGGCATCGCTGAGAAAGCCATCCCATTCATTACTTAGTTACAAATCCAATTCATATGACACACACTTTGATCTAATGGCATGCATCTTAATCGCAAACAACTATGTCGTACGTGCTACCTATAAGCCGAAATGCCTTTTTCAGATACCGGGATTAATTTATCATATACGCGTTTATAATCGTTGTAATGGAAAGAAATGTAGATGACGTTTCCACGTCAAATGTCGCCATAACGTTCAGCCTATAACCTTGCCTTCAATAACTTAGAGGCTAGACGTTCCTGGCAAAAGCTTATCATCTCTTTCTATATAACTATCTATAGATACGCAATTTCTGTAACAACTTTAGAAGCAGTCAATCGCAGTAGTGTTGTGAAAATTATTAAAACCCGAAGTCAAAAAAACTTGTTGATACAGGATATACAAAAAATGTTTGCCACTTGAATAAACATAACCATTAGTGCGACTATTTCTGTCACAAAATGAAGTAAATAACATACTTTTGCTATATTGCCTAAAGAGGGTTTAACTCTCGTTGTAAAAGAAGTCTTGTCGCATTATGTGTGCTCTATTCGATGTGCGTAAGTCAAGATTATTGTCTAGCAGAAGCCAATTTTTTGAAAAAACAACAACATAATATTAGTTAAGCATCCAAATAACGGCTAATAATGGGATTATATGTGCTTCTGTTTGATGTAACATTGCCGCACTCCAAAGCTGTAATTTCTTTGACAGTCAAATTATATTATAATAGAATTGTATCCGATCAAGCCTGGTGTTTGATCTTTGTGTTTGTATAACAAACATCATTACTCCGGACCCAGAGTTTGTGTGCCGCCCTTTTGTCGATTATCATTATGACAGAAACTGTAATACTACCAATAAAAGCCCCATTCAATTTATAGATGTACTTTCTTTATACATCCAGACACATAAGATACATTTATACGAGTCAAAGGAATATCATTCCTTTCATACACCATTTGTTATATGTGATAACATTGATAATAGTCAAACAGGGACAGCAGCAGTAATAGTGGCGAGGGTCCATAGGTTTATTTATATGTATATGATATGGTCGAGCCAAATCAACGCCAGCCAGCAGAACATTATTAACTAAGTAAAACATGTTCACTATTGTACTAATAATGGTAGAATTGCATTACTCTTTAAACCAATAAGCTTCTTTTGCTGACGCCTGCTAGGCGGTTTTATTCATTCTGAACAACATGGTTGTCGTCATCGTGATAAAATTTTCAGCTCTATAATCCACATTATTATGAAATCATACACAACAAACATGCATACTTCTATCTAGTACTATTTAGAGGGTGTATATTAGGAATTTACACCGCTATCGTAACCGTTTCAAGCTACTCACAAATAGAATTGTAGCTTTCCCTAATTAGTTTCTCTTTTTTTCTTTTCTCTCTCTTGTCGTCAACAACGAATGCACAACAGGAAAACATTCGATAATGGGTGTTTCGTTTCCCATCAGCAAAACGTGATGCACATAATAGCGCGTGTAGAACAGTCTGAACGATGTGACCGTCATCATGTGTGCTTGCATCGGCTTCTACTTCAGATTTCTCAACTGTTGCCTTTGAACATGCGCACACCCAGAACCACAGGAAAAAAGCTTCAAGCATAAACCACTCTGCCGTGAAGCATACGTGGCGGGATAACAGTAGTGCCGACGTCCAGCATCTATTCATCAGAGTTTTCTCATAGCGAATGTGTCGATTCCAGCAGATACGAGTCATGATTGTGCGATGTTTCGCGAAAATTACGCTAGTAATGCATTTGATGAGTCGTAGAGCTCCAAAAATATTGGAGTATGTTCTTGTCTGTGTTTAGAGGTCCATTTGTGATGCTAAAGCGGAAGATTCGGGAAACTTCTCATGGTAACGTTTCTCCCTCAAGTACTTGGCCGTGACCAGGCGGCGATCAAACCAACTACCGTGAAGCTTTCGATAAACCTCGCCAGCAGCTTCGAGAGACAGCATTTTAGCGTAGACAATACCGTCAGGGGAGTCTTCGGCAACATGCATATGAACGATTCCGTGATTCGGGCCGCATTTAGTTAGAAGTTCACGTTGAACATCCTGAACCCAGCCTTCACCACGCTCCCTATAATTGATACAATAAGCCATTATGCAAAGATAGATTAGATGTAATCATAAATGATGTTAGTAAAGACACATACATAATAAAAATACTTAAATGGGATACGTGCGAAAATAGAGTCGCATTGAAATATTTGCCGCATACCAAGAAACTTGCTTGTAAATGAATAGATTCACCACTATTTCTACTGACAGCTGCAATAAGATAACGTTTGTATCGAAAATACCGCCTTAAATAAGAAAAAAAAATTGTATATGCAGGACTTGCATGCGCAGGAATAGCGGTTGCAGGCTATTGCTACTACAAGGATTACTCACTCGAGCTTATTGAACATATTCTTGATCTTGAGACAGTTGGTTAGAGGTCGTCCCGCCGAACTACCGTCGAAAGCTTTACCTTGCCACACTTTATTGCCCATTGCCCACTGGCCGTTTACGGTCGTTGTTGGCGGCGATAACCACCGCCAAACCTGGAACCATTCGCCTCGAACGCGCTGCTTCTCGCGGGCCACTCGAGCACCTTCAGTTTGTTCGAATTTATCTTCAACTTCGCGCCACAACTGCGCCATATTTCGACTCATCGCGGCGGTAGGTAATAGCTTGTCACGAATCTCCACTGGAACATTTAAATGCAGATTGCTTTTGCTTTCATTCAAATTTTTTTCGGCTTAAATCAGTTTACTGCGAACAACTAAACGTATATGTAATGCATCTACTTGATGAACTTGGTAACTTTGTCTAGCACTCTTAAAATCATTTCAGATGATAATTTCAGAAATAAACATAGTGACATCATGTATACGTTCCTAAATGAAGTTCGCCTCAATTAAATTCAAAGCGATTAATTAACTAGGTAACGGTGATTTTACTTACGAATTGGAAGGTACGGTGTCTCAGGATTATCGGCCGCATTGTTAGTGAGGAGATCGGTGATGTCCTCAACAAGCCCGTTAATTTGACGTCTACGTTCCCGGTAATTAACTTTACGATTTTGTAGATACCAATATGTACATGCAACAACTACTACGAAAAAAACGAAAAGCAGGGCCTGCAGAAACATCTGCATGACAGCACGTTGAAGCCGACACCACAATGGGGCTAAGTAGTGCGGCATGAGAAAAGTGTCTTCGCTGTCTCGCGACACTTCGACTCCCCAGCTGGGATTCTGTGTAATCAAGTAAACTGCGCTGATGAAAGTCCCCTGAAAACGCGTCAATTACAATTAACCAATAGACAAATGGCTGTTAATAAAACCCATGGAATATATAAAGCTGGTGTAAACCTCGCCAGTGACACGGAAAGCGAAGAACATAAATAAACGATCTAAAAATATACGGCTAATAATTACGAACAGGCAAAATCGTGGATATTGAATATCAACGTCCACTTAGATTGGTCATTCTTCATTTTTTAGTCCTGGAAATAAATACACATTGTAACACATGTGTAAATACATAAGACCATCTGTTGACGACGAATCAATTTCGACCTGTGATAAATGACAATTTGCTGAACATACACAACATGAAGACCACAGTACAGCATATTAACGAAACATCGCATAGTGACGATAATGGATCCATTATTTTTTAATCTTAAATCGCTTTTCATGAAGGTCCCGAACTTTATTTGCAAGCTTAAAGGAAAACACATTATTTTTCATAACTTTTCTACTTAAGTAGAGTATTATTGCTGAAATTCTGTGGCAGACGTGCGTGTTTGACGCCTCAGTCGAGAAAGGCTTAGTCATACAGACTTCTATTGCACAGGAGGACATTAAGCGACGTAATGCGGAATGAACGGCCAAAATTTTACTAAGTATTTCTCAAATGTGCGATGGCAACCGGCACCGCCTCATTAGTATCACATAATGTTCAAGTTGAAATGACGAAGTTTTGACCACAGAAAGTGCTTTGACATGTCTCTGTAATGATGAAAACCATTAACATGTTTATCCTATCCAAACTCCAAGCCAAGCGGCTACTTGAACTTCGTAACTAGAGCTGCTCTTTGTCCCATTTAGCAAGCGAACGATACTTCGCAATATCTACAGACTTAAGCTTTCGGGTAAGGTCAATGCTACGAAAAGCTAAAATCTAGTGTTTATGCGGCATGCAATAGGTAGTACTGCACAAGAGGCTTAGGTCTTGCGATCGGCAAGAATCCAGGGTATTCGGATTTCTTGACAAGTTTTCAGCTGCGACTTGTGTCGCGCGGACTTGTGTCAAACGCATAAAGGATCGGGTAACGCACGTAGATCCATTTGTTTTATGCTTTGCACAAAGTTGTGCAAAGAATGTTGAAAAGTCCAACATGTGTATTGTACAGTGTGCGATACAGTCATAAAAACTGAGCGTTAGAGCAACCGTTTGAAGAAATCGATGAGCTAGATATAAATCTATGGTGAAGCGATAATATCCTTTATCTGTTCTACTAGAAACTATCTCGCCTGTGTCCGCAGCATGATCATAGCTCAAATACTTAAATGACGCTGACATTTGAAATAACTTTACACGTCAGAAGTATTTTAATGGAATGTTTCGACGAATTAGTTTTACATGTTTTTATAATCTGCTAAGGCATAGATTGTTGAAGGACTGAACGTTAACTTTTTTTTGCAATTTAGGTAACGAGGTGGTGATGCTAATTCTAGTAGGCGCTATCGTTGCATAGAAAAAGCCTCTACGCCATGCACGGTATTTGAGTCACATCAATATAAATGTAACTTGCCGTTCAACTCACTAACTATCAGCTAGTAGGCAAGTAATAATTAGTTTTGAAAATGATTTTAGTTGTTTAAGTCAGAGACTTACATTGTCCAGCGATGTACCGGCATGCCTCGCCGCCTCCTCATATGTAAGACGTTCATCTACATTGGAATCCTCATTGCCACAAACTTGTTCATATTTTTTTTGCTCGAGTAGCGTTTGAATCTTGCTTGCGACTTCCAATGACTTTCCAAATAGCTCCTCAGGGATGCAGGTATACCCCGCCTCTTCACCAGCATTTGGCCGTTTCGAGCATTTATCGTACTTGATCAGTTCGGCGACACTTGGCACACCAGCTCCCACTGATGGTTGGGCATCTTGTCCTAAACGGTAATACAAAACGGCCAAGCCAAGAAAGAAGATCACCGTGATCCACGTTAACAATTTTGGAACAAAGTGCGAACGCGTGGCGCCAGTGGTAGCACCCAGTTGTGGCCGTCGAAGGTTACGTAATCCACCGTAAGCAGCACCCGATAGGTACGATGACTGGCTCATTAGTGATGAACCTGTACCATTAACATACACATACAATAAGACAAAACTCAATGATGAAAAATTACCGATAATCAGTTGGGCTCATTTAAGCCTTCCACTATCCTATGAGCCTTAAATTTAGTACATTCACTAGATTTACTCAGCTATCTAACTGACAAAAAGACCAAATAACGTTCACACAATGCACCATTAGCAAACAAAACTTAGTAGGTACCTACATCACATCTTTGGCTCTATATAACTCTAAGCAGATTGGGCGTTATCAGAGAGTTATGAGTTCGGCGAAAAGGATCTTACTTAGTGCTGACAATAACGTTCGGTGATTAAGTTCTGTTTCTTAAAGATGAGAGCCCTTATGAAGTCCATTGAAAGAGTGATAAGAACACCGAGCAAAGAGGCCTTCAGCATAACAATATTTTTTTGCTAGTACAGTCAAACTGAGATGTTGAAGATCACAGGGAAAGGCGGTTGCGCCCCAGAACGATAAACGACGCATGCTCTTCGTCTATGTCAGCAGTATACTCCAGACGGGCTTTCTGCTCATAATATTTGTGCATATTCTCAGTTAAGTACATTGTGTATATACTTCCATCCGTCCTGAAATTTGTTTGCGAGGGACCCATCTTAAACTTCCATTTTTCATATCCAATGTCGTGGCTAGAACTTAATAACACATGCTTCAAAAAAATCCCATATGAAAGTGGCAGAGAGCGCATTGTCCATGCTTTGCTTTGCTGAATAGTCTTTGTAATTACAGCAGCTAGAACTTCCATTTGAAACCTCGGGGTTAAGTCACATCCCTGTTGATTTTCATCTTTCCCTTTTTCGTATTTAAAAAGATCGCACCAAGAACGAACAGCTGTTTCGTTAAAGGCCTTCTTGCTCTAGGCTCTCACTGCTAATTTCAATAAATATCGATAATGCTTTTAGCCTTAGAGAATACGAGCTTGATCATTGAGGGTTTATTTTTAGCACTAAACGATATACGTGTCTCGAAATTAACCACTGCCCGATAACATCAATCAGTTTCCAGTCGTAGAAAGCCAAAAACCTGATATAAGTATCTGCCAAACTTTACCTACCAATGGTAAATATACTATTTGTATTTTAAGTACCTGTTATATAAATATGGATTAGGTAAGATAGATTAGGTAATAATTAGGTAGAGGCAATGGTATGTATTTTATGTATGTATATATCTGATACGACACTGAATTATATATATATATATATATATATATACTTGATACGGAACCGCAACAAGTCGAAAAACGTTTACTGATCCTGTTAAAAGCTATTAGAATTAAGTTAGCCTACTGAGACTCACCGGAAGAATAGTTCATCGGTATCCCCTTATTCCTCAGAGAATTAAAAAGCGACATCGGCCTATAATAGCGATGTAATGGAGGCACTTCTTGATTATCGAGTTCATCATCGCTAAATCCATTGCCAGTCGTGCCTCCTGTGTTTGACGACACATAGTTGTTTCTCGAATGGGGCATGTGATTGTGGTTGCTTTCGTTGTTGTTGCTGTTTTTACTATTGTTGTTCGGGGGATGAAGCGGCCGACGCATATACTTCGTGCTGCGAGATACTAGTGACAGGGGTGGAGTGTCAGGTCGAACCGGTGAAAGCCCAGTCGAAAACAGACTTTGATTACTCCCGCCACCTCCGGAATCTTCGAGGCCTGAGGATTGATCTCCGCCTGGAGAGCTGTACATCGTTGAAGACGTCATTGATCCTAGCGTAGGTAAATATAACAAACAGCAGCAATAACAGCAACGGCGATATGTCAAAAATAGAAATATTATGGACTACTAGTTTTATTTGACCTGTGGAATGCCTAGCGACCAAGTCACACGGTAGTAAGTGAAACAACGATCATTTAGTATCAAATTGAAGTTGTCATATTGAAGCTATTCGCTTAAAAAGCCACCTTTGTCATTCAATAGTATATTTATTTTTGTTTATCTATTCCAGTTAGGTGTTTTTATAATTTTTAAATTTTCCAAAAACACCTAATTCGAAGAAAAAAATCAATGAGTTAAAACGGCTACTGCAAAAAGGTTTTACGAAACATAATAGGGTGTAATAGCGTAGTAGTGCATTTCTCAAACAAGAAAAAATTTCAGGGCTTGGTTTCTAAACTACACTGGTCTTCTTTTAATATCCTAAAAATAAGCATATTTTCTATTTATTTTTTAGAAAATGTTGTACTAAGTTATTTTGTTAAACTGTCGCAAATATTATTAGGCTATTACAAGCGAACCAGCGGACCTTGAAACTAAATAACATTAAGCTACGTGCTATTAGCAAACAAAATTTTACTGGTAAATGTTCTAGTCTTCTAGAACTGTCTAAAACCGCCAAGTTCATTCAAGGAGAAATTAGTGCAAAAGAAGAGACATCTTTTAGTCTTAAAAATTAACACTCAACGGTAAAGTGTTTGTTCCATAAGGCCGGAGCGCTACGAAAGGTTGGTGAAAACGTTAGGCAAGGAGGCCTTAAGCAAAAGCACAATACGTGATTGGCGCAAACGTTTCAGCAACGGATACTTGAGTGTTGAAGACCAACGAGGAGGTGGCCAGATGTCAAAATCCGAAGGACAAGGACGTAATATCGCAATCGAGGAGGCTTTCACGCAAGCAGAGCTCGCAGCCTAAGGGCTCTATCTGCCAAAACTGTCACTGCACATAAAACGTGTTATAGAATTAAAACTGATATACTGAAAATAAGGGAACCGCGTAATAAATAGGTCTCACATATCTTGATTCCATGCTTGTTGGAAATGTGTGTAGTGTAGTTCACGTGTAATTTGCGAAACTTTAATTAACAAAAAACCTGCTTGGTTACCATAGATGAGACATGGTTCAAATTTTACCGCTAGCCGGAAAGAGACCAGGTAAGAAAATGGCGTCATGCCAAAGAAAAACCGAGCTCGATTTAATGTCCAGTAGGTTCGGGCACAACCTGATCGTAGTATTTGCTGCTACGAAATGTTTGCCTAAAATTAAGTCATGAAAGCACTTCGCTATCTTTAGTGCGGGATTGTTGGTACGGCAATGAAAGCACGCAGCCTGGTTACTTAACGACATTGCCCGACCTCATGAGGAAAATAGTCCGTTGGTACTGCTGCATGTACCAATATCCTTCTGTTTTGAGAGGCTACAACGAAAATCCGCTACTCCAGAACTACTAAAAGGGTTAAATTAGGTTCCACCTCCGGGTTTGACATCTTACCGAAGTTCTTAAGTCGATTGTCTGCATCGCTTATCCTGGTAACGACTTGTGAACGGAGTCTTCGTAATTTATTCACAAACGATAACTTCACCGTCTTCAATTAAAGAACTCCATTCGAAGCTCAACACTACCCCTGGCATAAAACAATTGATCATTAAAGAATCTTAACGAGAAGTGCAATCTCCTCCTTATTTGCTGTCCTACAGGAACTTCGTCTTAAGTTCCTTAGTTATATTTAAAAGTAATTTATTTATGTCCTTACTTATGTTGTCTAGTTAAGGTATCCTTTTTAGTGTAATCCAGGTCTCCGGGAGTACCGTTTATATAAAGCCGGCACCACGAAAGAACGCCACTAATAAACCTACCAGTACTTCTTATATACCTACTCCCACCGTGTCCACGCAAAAGGACCAATTGATTTTCTTTTTATAATTATATGTAGATTTTTCTGGCGTAGAGCTTGATAACACAGTGACAACACCTGAATAAGTGAACTTTTTCAAACGAAATTTCGCAAATAGCAAAGTTGACTACAAATGATAAGATGTCGTAGTGTTAATAACGATAATGTGACTCTCCTAATGGTGCAACTAGAAGGTGCTAACTTATAGTTAATCGACACAAAGATGCTAAACTGCGATGGAAACAAATTGCTCTCCTCTTTATTATACAGCTAATTGCTGTTCGACACTATAATAAAATAAAACAAACTACTTGTTTAGTCTTATTTACAATACTTTATTTCATAATAATTCATTTATAATAGCTTCGTGGTAGTTCTAACAATAGTTCAATAGTAGGAATCATGTTGTGCAACAGTTAAAAGTTGTCGAATATACAACTAACCTGGAGTTGAAGGAGTATCGCTGTTGGCACTCTTCCGGTAAGATTGTGCGTATCCACCCTTGAAAGTATACGTTGTCGATCGCCTTGTCGGTCGCGATGTTTCAGCAGGGGCCTCGTCATCAGAGCTAAAAGCTTGCGACGGTTTGCCACGGGTTCTGCTGGAAGATCGAGACTTAACCGGGAGCGTCTCTTGGTTTGACGAAGTATTAGACCAACCGGAGGCGGACTTCGAAGATCTGCCTTGGCGATTAGCTTTTTCAGCTCCTTCCCGCCTGCAACGAAGTCAATAATACGTATAACAATGCAAGTCGATCCTTTTAGAAACGAATAGAATCTTCGCATTTGTGCAACATATGTGAAACAGAAGTGGAGAGGCTTTATAAATTACGCAACACCAGATACGCAATAAATAATAATTTCCAATAGTAATATAGGACCTCAACCGTAGCTAACTGGCTGATAATCGAAGGATAAAATCATAATAATTGCAATAGAAATGTCTAAGATTACTACTGCCTTTAACTGGTAAATATCTGCTTAGTTTGCTTTAGCGCCGATCGCATTGGTTGTCGTTTCGAGGGAAACGACAACCGTCCTTTAGGCGCGGCTAGCTAGTAATAGATCTTCCAACAATAATAATCTGTATATATTGTAACTTTTATACTGGTAACGTTAGGATATTTAGAACAGATAAACATCAGTTGAGTAGACCTTCCTTGTCTAATCCTAAACACTGAAGAATTACTACATTCTGCTAATTTGCATAGAAATGCGTCCAAGTTCTGTAAAGTGTCCGGCTTCGTCTATTTACACTGGAACTACTGTCAACGTGAAATCCATTTCAGGTTCAAGAAATGGGAAAGACGAAATGGCTAGCGTTGTCAGAACTGCATTTCACCGCTGAAAAACGTATAGAGCTGTACTAAGAGCACTAATTCTCGTTTTCTACGTCGAACGGTGCCGCAATGGGGCTTATCATTTCAATAGCTCAACACAATAATATCACATACAATAATTATCACATAGCATGCGTGCTGTCACACTATGGAATATCAGCGTTCATATCCCCTTGTATAAATCCGACCTGTTGTCCTAAACTTGCTCCCCCTAAATGTTAACGCCGTCTTTGCCGATACAGTTGCAGCTAACTGCGAATCGAAAAGAACGGACCGAACTACCTGCTTGTAGAGCTACGTCCTTCCGTCACTTTTTGCTTGTTTAACTTCCTATAGTGGGGATTTGTCGGTACGCAACGATGTTACGATATGCATTAATGGCACGACGTTCAGCAGTATTCGCGTACAAAGAAACTAAAGCACACCTCTTTAACATAGCGACATAAAGTGGGCGGGTTGTGTCATCAATGGGGCCCACATCACAGCCCAGGGCCGTGAGCCGGCCCCTGAGCTCGTCGTCGGAAATGGCCATAGAAGACAGCAATGAGCACTTTAGGGCTTTGGCGGCGGGGTGCGTATCGTGAACACAGCAAGGACGGCACGACAGCCTGATCAAACGAACTAGCTCGTACTAGCCGATATTCAGTTGTCCAGCTAGCTAGCGTGGCCAGAACGCACTAATGCAGTTTTCGACAGGTTCTACAGAAGACACCGATCAAGCACCACCACTGGACACCATCATCAATCAACCAACAGCGAAAGCAGTAGCAGCACAGCTAAGCAAAAACTACACCAACATCAAGCAACTAACACGGTACTCAACGGGCAGGCAGCCACCGGTCTAGCGCTCACAACAAACAAACTGCACCCGGAAGTGGTGAGGAAATCCATTGTTTGACAATATTTCGCCTCAGCCAACTTCTCGGTGCCTATGGACAGGTACTTCATACAAAAAATTTTATCACGGTTGAAACTCTTCTTTTAACTGCAATTAAATATTGAACATTGCTTGAAGCTGATACCGCTTGAATGCCAAAACTCTCCGAGATCGCTTCATCCGGGTGCAGTGATCTAATATGCGGTACTAACCTTCGCCGAGTATGCGTATGTTTACAAAATGCTCTGCTATTCGTTGCTCTAAGATGACGTGAAGTTTTAGCCGTACTAGAGGTAGTATTGATTTGAAACTTGGTACTAATCAATTTCTTCACTTACAGCATCCACTGGATCCGGTCGGATGATCGAGCGTTGATGAGCACCGTTTGACCGCCGAGTTTTCACCCCTTAGCTACGGATCCGTCCATTTATCACGATTTTGTCTATAATTAATGTTTTGTTTCGCTTATGTTTTGTGCTGTTAGATATTCATGACTTGACGGTATAATTTAGAGTAAATTCGAGACTGCTGCACTCTAATTTCGAAAATAGAACACATTTTCTTAGCCCTCCTGTTGTCGAGGAGATCGGCGCCAATTGCAGATGGCTGCACACTGTGCAGCGAGACATAGTTTGGCTTACAGCTGGCATTGTGATACTGCTGAATGTTCTTATCTCGTACGTGCTTTTCTAATTATTTTGCCAATTCTAATCTGTTATCTTGGTTTTCATCTACTGCAATGATTCATCGTTTCTTAACGATTCGAACCCAACAGTCGTCCCCAGAACGATCAGCGCGAGATGGACCCTCGCGCGGGCGCCCGATCCACTGGCGGGCCCCTTCCAGGCTCTCACCAACACCAGCATTTCACCGCATTCAAGCTGATGAAAGACCCTCAGTTGGAAAAGGTCCCGCAGAAGGTGGTTCGTTATGACGGCATCGTTCCAGGGAGCAACCCTCCACTTCCAGTACAGCCGCGAGATCCCCGAAATCGGCTCTTCTTTTGGCGTAAGTGGCGACGCACGAATTTAGCTCAAACAAATGCATAACGATCATCTGTGTTTGCAGCATAACGAACATTTGCCACGCTGTAACAACCATTCCATAACAATCACCCTTTTCATTTAGTCTACATTGGTGCTTATTTCGGCGAGTTCAGACGGGTCAGATTCGTGATACATTGCACTGATTCACCACCACAACTCTACCAATCAAGAAAGTTAATTCGTAACTCAAAGATTCTCTCAGGCACTCAGGATTCAAACACTTAGCACCTGCTGTCTGTCAGATAATTGATTATCGCGAGTGTCTCAGTAATTGCAAACTTGTTTGACTACGATTCGAAATTGAAATTACCTTTAATATATGGGCTTGGGCTAAATGCAAAGCTAATAGGCCGTACCACAATGAATATTGCTATATAACTTAGACAATAATGTATTTAGATTTAAGAGAATAGTTTGGCCATTGGAAACTTCTGACACATGCAACCTGTATCTTCAGTAAGTGCTAAAGTAGATCTCTGACTTTGCCCCACTTCAAACAGAGCACCCATTTTATTTTCGTTGTTCTTGGCGTATTGGTCCGTCCTGGTCACCTCGTGTGCATCACTGTATGTGTGGGTGTAGCCTTTATTTGAATTCACCAGCCTAACCTTGTAGCTAGTTGTATATATTTGAGTATGTTAGTTAACCTTTCGTTCGCTTATTTTTAAATGAATTTAATCTACACATTGTTCTAGTTTTAAAGTCTCACACAGGCCATGTTTATACGATACGAAATGATTGAAATCATAGTGCTAATATCCGCACACGAAGTGAAAAAATCAAGAGACATCATATTGCATGAAAAAACTGCGTGTTGTTTTTGTTGTAATTTCAGCGCGAAGTAAAGCGCTGGAACTGGCCGTACCTCGTCTAGCTATTGACGACAACTACGTCGGTACACCGCCTGCAGTTGAAGTGACTGTGACCAATCTGAATGATAATGCAAATGAGGCGTTTCTCGCCGAACATCTCCGTAAACATTATGGACCCGTCGAGGAAGTTGAAGTGTTCCATCACCCACGTACTCGCCGTCATCTCGGTGTTGCCCGGGTTACCTTCGCCCATACACGGGCCGCTCAACTGTGCGTGCACAAAATGCATGGTTCTTCCCTCATGGGCAAATTGCTCGAAGTGTTTTTCGACCCATTTGGCCGACGTTGCAAGGTAATGGTTGAAGAGCTCACTGCGGAGAAACGACCTCTTCCACCGCCTCCGCCTACGCAGGCGCATCACCCGCCTCCACCAACGGCCAATCCCCCGCTCGGATCGACCCAACCGGCGCCGCTACAGACACAAGCAATGCTCACTGCCGCCATTGTTGGAGCACCTATCGACGGAGGCCATAGCAATAATCTAGCAGGCGTACCCGGTGCAGCTGTCGGTAGCTCCAGCGCCGCTGTAGGCCACGCGTCGGGGGGTGGGAGCTCTTTGAGCGGAGCGGCACCTGCTCCAGTTGTAGTTCCTCCACCGTCGCGGACTCTTCCATTTGCTGCGAACAAAGAGTTATTTAGCGGTTCGCGGAACTCGAGACGATCACCATCTAGCTCTCCTGAACGGTAAATACCGTAGTATATGCGCATGCTGTGCATTTTTTCTGTACCTTCTGCCTTTCTCGGAAGGACGCGACAGCTTTATTGGCTCCCAATGATCGCTATTAATGATAAACTTAAGCTATATATTCATGCAGGTATGTACAAAAATACGTACATATGTTGTTTCAGATATTTTTAGCTGTTTATCATTATGCGAACGAAAGCCGCAGGAACCGTTAACGCGAGTCTAATTTGAGTATAATTTGGATATAGCTGGCGAGTTCGTAGTAGCTTTGCGTTGACTGCCTCATCATCGTCTGATTTCGTTTCGATTCTATTTTTCCATTTCTCTTTGTATAGGCCGTATGAACGCTCCTCGAAGTACGCATCACGGAGTTCAGCCGGTGGCGGAAGCAGCGATCAGCGGCAGTCACTCGAGTCTCGACTCGAGATGCTCTTTAACAAGGGTCAAGCAAATAGGGCTAAGCCCCTACCGCCGCCAAAAAAGCCCCGACCAACTCCACCCCCGTCGCCTTTCCGTAATAAACGGACCTACCTTAAATGGCAACGGTATACGCGTTTACGAAAGGTTTGTCAGAGTCATAAATTTGCTGATCATTGCAATAGAACCAGTTAAATGATATAATAAGGTTATGGATTATTATATTAAATTTTTGTTGTCTCAAACATTAACCTAGAAGTTTCTCCCCCATTGGACAGTTATCACATATCAGATTACTATATATGCGACTCGTCGACCGAAAACCGCAGCCAAATATACGGCATTATTCATTTAATTTACAACTGATGCGTTTGTATTTTTCAAATAAAAGTTAGCGTTTGTATGAAGGATAGATACTTTGCTGGAGATGTGCTGAAATCCGTTTAGTCAATATACATGTGACTAACATCAGTTGAGACATCTAACATAACGAAAAATCGAAGTGATTTCTCTATTTTAGATAACTCTATAAACCTCTTTATTTACTTGCGTTCTATATGTTCAGAATGTTACTGTTAAGTTACATTGATCGGACTTTTTCCTTCAATGTTTATCACTCCATTTCTTGACAACTAAATCGTCTAAGATTTATTACTGCTCTGCAGCATGTAGAGAGCGGATCTAGCTCCCTTATAAAGTGACTTTGGTTGTCATTACTTGACCTGAATATTATAAAGATATTGACTTAGAAAGCTTTCAACCCAAGCAATAATGCTTTCATTCTATATACAAGATCATAAACAATGGCGCATGCTTATACGCCCAGCAACAGCATTAAGGCTTAATATGTATTGTACGTATGTTTGCTTGAGTCCTAAATAAGATGGGCTTCAGCTGTGACTAGCGTTCGGTAGTTACCGCCGTATTAGATGTTGGATGTCTGCATATTAAGCGAAATGTATGGTATTATTTTATTCGGATGCTGAAATATCCCAGTTGTCCCTAAACAAGTCGCTATCGGTCAACGGGGGATACCCAAACATAAAGCTGGAATACCAACTGGTGTTCTTATATTTTTATAGGAGAATCGGCTATCCGACTGGAATTCGTCGTCTTCCATGTCTGACATCAGTGGCTCGTCAGATAGCGATTCGACGCCAGTCTACGACGAGAAAGTACCCAAACTGCCCGGCGCGGAATCACTTTCGGAAAGTTCGTTACCAGACGATGACGACCAGATGAGTTTAAGTCCATTAAGCTCTGGCGAACCAGAAGTTCCTCGGACACAGACACAGTCGCAGGCCCAACCCCCACCACCGCCGGCTGTACCCCAACCTCCCCAGCCTCCAGCGCCTCCTGTTAGCCAACCCGCGTATCTAGTTGGCTATGGCCAACAGGGCATATACGCACACACCGCGCAACCACCTCCACCGGTACCTGGAGCGCCAGCCGTGTCACCCTATTCAATTCCGCCCCCTCCACCAGGGGCACCACCCCCTCCTTTTGCCTACCCTCCACCAACTTTTGCTCAATACACGCCTACTGCACCCCCGCCTCCGCCGCCTCCTGTCCCACCGTACTCGACATCAGTACCTCCCCCACCATTGCCGAGTACTCATCAGTTCGCTTCAATATGGCCTCCTAGTCAGCAACCAAACATTTGTCTCGACGATAAAGACCCGACGATCAATCAGGTCCTCAATTCGCTTATCACCGAACTCAAGCAAATTATGCGGAGGGACATCACGAAGAAGATGATCGAGATGAGCGCGTTCTCGAAATACGACCAGTGGTGGACAGAGAATGCAACTCGGGAAAAAGCTAACAAAGAGCAGTTAGCCGAGCCCCGAGAAGCTGCGGAAACTGCTGCTAAAGGTGGCATAAAGGCTACTAGACCGGAGCCAGCAGTACCAACCCTATCGACACTATTCGGCGGCCACGCTGACCCAACAGCAGCAGGCTTCGGCTCACTGCGTATGGCGCTACCAAAAATGCCCTCATTCCGTCGAGCTCGACCGCCCCCTCTTATTAGGGATGATAACGCCGATGACTCGGATCGGCTTGAGTCAATCTCGGAAGGAGAACTGTCCAGCGATCTCGACTCACCCGCGAGAAACGCCAACCGGCAACAGTCGCTTGCATCACGCAAGAAACGTCGGCGGAGTGATACGAGTTCAGAGGAAAGCAGTCGAACAAGCGATAGCGATGATGAGCCGATTCGACTTCCAGTTCGAAAACCCACACCTCCACCTTTGGTGGATGAAAATTGTAGTGACATCTCTACTAGTGATGATCTCAGCGATGATGGCGATAGCTCGAAGAAATCTAAGAAGAAGATGTCAGTTAAAGGTGAACATGGCAGATTTTATTTCCCCATTTTCCATATAGGTATAAACGGCGTTAAAACGGCGAGGTAAACATTTCGCATCGCCGTATATGTGCAGTATAATCCTACAGAGATAGTAGAGATAATCGGAGGCTTTTATTTTGCAGAAATATATTCAACATCTTCCGAAGAAGACGATGATGGCCCGTTAGTTCGAAGGATTGTTTCGGATGACGACAAGTCACAGGATGCGGACTCCAAACGGCCCAAAAAGAAAGAGGTTCTGTTGGTCAATCAAGTATTTACCGACTCCGAGTCTGACGTCGAAGAAGAGCCATCTAGTCCCAAGGAGGCCAAGGACGAAGAGGAAGCCGAAGAACCCACAATCGAACCGATGGAGGCCGACGAGGAAAGCCTCTTCGAACATCCTGAAATGACTAAAGAACCGAGTGAACGGCTTCCGTCACCCATAGTCAAGCCTGTTTCTCCTAAAGAGGACTCGGTTCTCAAAGTGATGCCCGACAAGGAGGAACTCAGGCCAGAGCTCGTCGAAGAGCCAGACGAAAAAATCGGTATAGGCAGCGGTACCGAAAGCGGTGCGGAAAATGCTAAGCCATCTTCTGAACCTGTTCCGGAGCCAGCGCAAAGTGCAGCTCCTAAGCGAAAGAAGGCAGTTAGTAAGAAGGACAAGCTGCAGGACAAACGAAGACTTGAAATTGACGTAGTGGGAACAGAGGATGTGGAGAATGCTGATCCATCAAAGGACACAAATGTTGAGATGAAAGAAGAAGGTGGTGATCCAGTGTATATCGATCACTGCTATTGCCTACCTAAGGCTGAAGAACCGGAACCGCCTGCCAAGAAAAAACGAGAGTATAAGCGAAAGCCTAAGCAAGAAAGATCTTTCCGTGAACTCACAGCTCTCTTCGACTCAACGCACCAGACTGCACCTAAACCGCGCAAAGCCACGAAAGCGGATACAGGCGGGTTCAGAGCTCGCCTCGACGAGGAGGAAGAGGAAATTCTTTACAAGTGCCTCAAAACTGGTACGTAACAAATACATTATTAGTTAACCGACGACGGCGCGTTTCGATAAACTCATAAACGTCGAACGCAAATTATGCTGGGTCAAATGATAGTCCGTAGCTATCACATTAATCACTTAAACCCATTGCACCATAGCTGTTTTCAGAGCAAACGAACAAGAGTTATCTCTTATTCGAACGATACGCGTCAGCAACAGTTTCCGCCATGTATTGTTGGCGCGTATGTGTTCACTCTAATTCTGTAGCGTTGCATTTTTCAACTCAATGTCCAACTAAATGGTTCTAGGCATCGATGCTGAGGATGTGCAGTACTTAAAGCGGACTTATGATATGCTTCTACTGGATGAAAAGAACGGCGCGTGGTTGAACGACACGCACTGGGTAGACCATGTACCCACGAATATCCCGAACTTTATCAAACGCAGAAAGGACGCTCGCAGAGTACATGTAACAGGATGTGCCAGATCCGAGGGGTTAGTGCAGACATATAACTTGTATATAAAATGCTCTATCGATATCAGTCAAGGTAAACGGAATTGAGTATTTTACAAAATAAACCAAACCTTGGACGTTTTCAACGATCAAGGCTTTTGCACACGATAGTGAACTTTGTAAGATCGATATACGCTACATAACGAAACCAATACAATTCAGACACACTGAAGTAATGTTTTCATTTTGTTCTAATGCAGGTATTACAAAGTTGACTCGTTGGAGAAGCAACAATACAAGGCTTCGCATGTGCAAACTCATGAATCGGCGAACCAGTCTGCCAAGCCCCCAGTGGCGGCCTCACAGACCACTTCCCGAGAAGCTCGTTCCAATCAACGTCGCCTATTAACCATTTTCCAGGAAGCACAAGCCCAGTCCGACTTGCTCAAATTTAACCAGCTCAAGTTCCGCAAGAAACAGTTAAAGTTTGCGAAGTCGAAGATCCATGACTGGGGTCTATTTGCTCTCGAACCGATCGCCGCAGACGAAATGGTTATCGAATATGTTGGCCACTGTGTGCGATCTATTGTTGCAGACTTCCGCGAGGTGCAGTATGCGAAGATCGGCATTGGGTCGTCCTACCTCTTTCGGGTTGATCAAGAGACGATTATCGATGCAACGAAGTGCGGAAATCTTGCACGATTCATAAATCACAGTTGTACTCCAAATTGTTATGCCAGAGTAATTACGGTCGACGGTGAGAAAAAGATCGTCATATATTCAAAGAGAGATATATCGGTGAACGAGGAAATTACCTACGACTACAAGTTCCCGATCGAAGACGAGAAAATTAAATGTCTCTGCGGTACACCTCAGTGCCGAGGTTACCTCAATTAAAAGAATCATCTGTGAGCTTTAGTCAGGACACTGAAGCTACTAACGAAACCCATCTAATCATTTGGCGGCGAACTGAAATCCTGCAGATAAACTGATGATAACCGTTAAGTCATTTGGATCGTCAATATCTGCTCTATAAGAACCATAGACAGACTAATAT